TGATGAAATCAAACAAAGTTTAATTGTGGACCCTTTTGGCCTCAATATGAACCAATTTGATAGCGGGCCCACAAATAAAAAATCTAAATACATGGTAAGATTCAGCATATCAAAGAACCCCATATATTCATTTTTTGTTGAAATCAAACAAAGTTTAATTTTGGACCCCAATTTGGACCAACTTGAAAACTGGGCCAAAAATCTAAAATCTAAATACATGTTTAGATTCAGCATATCAAAGAACCCCATATATTCAATTTTTGTTGAAATCAAACAAAGTTTAATTTTGGACCCCAACTTGGACCAACTTGAAAACTGGGCCCTTAATCAAAAATCTAAACACATGTTTAGATTCAGCATATCAAAGAACCCTAAGAATTCAATTTTTGTTAAAATCAAACTAAGTTTAATTTTGGACCCTTTGGACCTTAATGTAGACCAATTTAAAAAACGGGACCCAAAATTAAAAATCTAAATACACGGTTAGATTCGGCATATCAAAGAACCCCAATAATTCAATTTTTGATGAAATCAAACAAAGTTAAATTTTGGACCCTTTGGACCTCAATGTGGACCAATTTAAAAACGGGGCCCAAAATCCAAAAACTTAATACACGGTTAGATTCAGCATATTAAAGAACCCCAAGAATTCAAGAATAAAACCCCATTGAAATTGATCAAGAAATAAGCAATTTATACGAAGTATCTTCTTTTGCACAATACTGTGCAATTGAATATTTCTTGCTATTGCGCAATACTGTACAATTGACAATTTCTTGCTATTGCGCAATATTGTGCTATTGGATATTTCTTGCTATTGCGCAATACTGTTAAATTGAAGATTTCTTGCTATTGCGCAATACTGTGCAATTGAAAATTTCTTGCTATTGCACAATACTTATTATATAATAATTTACACATCCTATTTGGTGTGTATCTCCTACCATATCATTATTATTTGCTTTTAAATATAAATCAGAAATAACCAACTTAAAATGGAAAATTTTAAAAGAAAAAAAAAAGGAATAAAAAGAAAAAAAAAAAAAAAAAAAAATCCCCCCCCCCCCCCAATTTTTTGAACCCCCTTATGATTCATCACCCCCAAACTCAATCCCAGCCTTCCCTTTGTGGTATGGTACCTTGCAGTACAATTTCAGAGAGATCCATACACTTGAACACAAGTTATTGTCTGGAAACTAGAAAAATGCTTATTTTTGGCCCCTTTTTGGCCCCCAATTCCTAAACGTTTCGGGCAATTACCCCCAAACTCAATTCCAGCTTTCCCTTTGTGATATGGAACCTTGTAGTACAATTTCAGAAATATCCAAACACTTACACACAAGTTATTGTCATGAAACTAGAAAAATGCTTGTTTTTTGCCCCTTTTTTGGCCCCTAATTCCTAAAATTTTGAGGCAATTACCCCCAAAATCAATTACAGCCTTCCCTTTGTGATATGGAACCTTGTGGTACAATGTCAGAGAGATCCATACACTTACACACAAGTTATTGTCTGAAAGTTACAAAAATGCTTATTTTTGGCCCCTTTTTGGCCCCTAATTCCTTAACTGTTGGTACCATAACCCCCAAAATCAATCCCAACCTTCCTTTCGTGGTATTGAACCTTATGGTGAAATTTCATGGAGATCCATTCACTTAAACTAAAGTTAGAGTGCGAAAACCAATGTGTCTTCGGACGATGCCGGACGACGATGACGATGACGACGACGACGACGACGCCAACGCCATACCAATATACGACCAAAAAATTTTTAATTTTTGCGGTCGTATAAAAACTACAAAGTAGTTTTATGCAAAATTCAGTTTAGAAATTTTATTAAAAAGTTCCCCTTTTCATCAGTAAAGGTCTTTATGGTTATATTTTATCTAATTTTATTTTCATATTTTGAAAGTCATAAGCTGTGTTTTTTCAAGAAAAAAGTAAATATTAAATGTATTCCGTAAATACTTATTGGTGAAACTTTTTAGAGGCTCTCCATTTTGTTAATACTGTCATCATGCTTTAAGCATGAACAGCTTGCTTATATTCTTTTATAAGATATATATAAATATATAATCAAATTAAGGTAACAAAAGTTAAGATTTGGTAAGGAATAAAAACAAAATAAAACGTCTGATAATAATATTTTTTCCCACAAATAACATTTTTGTAGATACATGCAAGTTCATTTAATTTATAAAATCATATAAAACCAGTTATAAAAAAACTTAGATGATGGTCATTTTTCATGACATGTATAATGTCCTATGATATTTAAATGAGTTAAGTCACATGGTACAATGGAACAGGTTTAAAACACATGTCTAATGTTTTTGTTTTGAATGGAAGGCTGTTACACTATTCATACTTACTCCATCAAATATTTTATATAGAAAACAATAGAAGTAACATAGAGACCTAAATGGGTAACTTTTTTGATTATTGGCCTAAAATTATGATATTCATAGTCAGAGTTTGTATATATCATACATTAACATACATCAAGAAAAAAAATGTTTATTTGCAAAAATGAATTTTTAAGAATTATTTTCTGAAGATTTATAGAAGTCAAACGGATTATATTTCTTCTTGTGTATTTTCCCATTCAGCGAAAATTTAACCTGCCCATTTTGTCATCAAATCTCTCAAAAAAACCCGATATATGGTATATATATATAATTCATCTCAAATTTAGCCCAACAATGTTAGATCTGTAAATTCTCCCAAATATATATATATATACATTGTATATTACGTAGTAGAGAATTGATAAGAAGTAGTGGATTCGTAAACGATAATCAACGAGCGACTTTAGTCGCAAGTTGATTATCGTTTCCGAATCCACTACTTCTTATCAATTCTCTAGCTTAACCCATTTCTAGTAAAACGACTGTCTGTTTTACGTTTTGACAATGAATCAACGATATCTCATAAAAATAGTTTCGTATTTTGTCTTTTTTATTCTATAATAGCTGGAAATGATTAAATCCACACGGTTCGCATCTATATTTAGACATTTGACAAGTTAACATAAGTTTAAAATAACTTAAATGGGGTGTTAGCTCCCCTTTTTAACACCAGATTTTATTTTTGTATATAATACATATTTCATATAATGTTTAATCATTACAAATTATTTAAATTGAATAGATTTTGGTATATTTAATTTTTTTTAAAAAGATGTATATTAATATACAGAATTTATTTATCTTGTTTTGAAAAGTTAAAAAATTTTAATTACCAAAATTTAGAACCTTCAAAATGTATTTATATAATATTTAGCAACTTGAATTGGTATATTGGAGATTAATCACTGTGAAGCCGTTCTTAGTCAGATAAATATTACTAGCGTTGATGCCATAAACCTGCCATTTCATGATAATGCTCAAATTCATGTTGCTTTCCATAAGTATTTAAAGTATGTGCTAACGATTTAAATTGAACAATTATATTTAAATTTTGTTTAAACTGTTTCCGTTTCATTAAGTTAAGATTATTTTAACGTTATTACATTTGGCATATATCGTTCACCGGTCAATAAACTAGTTTTATCTGTGGTACGCATTCTGAATCCCCATCAGAATTGCTCTTGCTACGGACTTACAATGAATAAGTATGTGGATTTCATTCATTTACCATCAAGCTGTTCATAGCCGTGATCGTCTAGTCGTTGGTAACGAATGTCATAACAGTGATATTAGCAGTGCAAAGTTCGAACCTAGTATCCGGAATGAAATTTTTTCATTGTAATTTTTTTCTGCACCAAAATATTGTTTTAATCCTAGAACATGTAAAAGTATTATATATATTTCATTTTCATATAATGGCGATGATTTTGTTTCTGTTTTTACTGTCAAAGAAGTAGTTTTAACCCATTTCTTAAAAAAAAAACATAACACACAAAATAAAAAAAAAATCAATAAACATGAACAAACCAAGATATATATATATTTCATTAGATTACAAAAGTGAATTATCAATGAGACAGAAATACAGTTAAATGACATGTATTGACAATTAAGCGCTTTAAGAGTACTATTCATATAATGATTGATGTCAGCCATCGTGGTGTAGTGGTATCATGCATAGACTGAAGAGTATTGATTATAAAGAAAATACGCGCGGGTTCGAATTCTACACATGCCACTCGTTTTTGAGAGGATAAAAGATCGTAAGTTAAAAGGTTAAAGTTATAATTTAAGTTCTCTTAAGTTAATACTATGGTCAGTGGATTCTTGAAAAATAATCTACAGTAAGAACAATAGACTGACGTCAGAGAAATGGGTTAACAGTTGGTAAGCCATCCACCAAAACCAATAACTGTAACCTTAATCATATGTGCATATGTACACATAAATGAGAATAGTGGGAACTACATTTCAGTGTGTATAGATTAAGTAGCTAATCTGGATACTTTCAGTTTTGGAGAGTTCTAATCTTTTCAAAAAAATATATAAGATATATATAAATAGGAATAGGAGGTATTCATGGTATTGTTAATATAATGCAAATCTATTAAATGTTTTACAATTTGTTATCTATGGAAGATCTGTTGATTGTGTCTATTAAATTTAACTAAAAATTTACTTGACTCAGTAGGATTTACAGCTTGACATTCTGTTACATGTAAGTCACCTTTTCATTGTAGAAGACTGTATGTATGTTGGCCCCTGATCACTATGTATGATTTACAGCTTCGACATTCTGTTACATGTAAGTCACCTTTTCATTGTAGAAGACTGTATGTATGTTGGCCCCTCACTATGTATGATTTACAGCTTCGACATTCTGTTACATGTAAGTCACCTTTCCATTGCAGAAGACAGTATGATGGCCCTATATCATGTATATGTCTTTTGGTTATTTTGTTGTGAATTTGCCATCTCATTCACATATATCCCATATCTTCATTTATTGATATAAATTTTACCTTGAGTTTGATATAACAAGAATTTCTAATACAAATATGTCTAGGAGATCTAACTTAACTGTTAACCTACCTTGAACTTTGTCTGTTTATTATAGTAGCTGAAGATTACTGTGCTTTCTTGTTTGGTCTTTCTAAATGTCCAATTTATTGCTGTCAAGTTATTAAATTCTACTTTAGAATCACCATATTCAAATTTGGTTGAAACTTCTTTACCTGCACAAAGACTCACTGGTTCTTGGTAAACATAATTTGGATCACCTGTTAAGTAAAGACAATAATAACTAACAGATGCATTATGAGTGTATAATATACAAGTCTGTCTAATTTTGATTATTGCTTTCACTGCAGCAATTCAACAAATTCAAACAATTTATTACCATGATATAAACAAACAAAATGAGCTTGTATATATATGTTTTACATGTTTCTATAGAAATAAACATTACAAAAAAGTTCTGAATCATTTGTTGTTAAAAATCTAAGACATTATGAGACATGATTGTATAGCCACATTTTTTATGATATAAATTCCAGAACTTTTAAACATTAACTATAAAAATCTTAACTTCATTCGAGCCAATATATTGTATAAGTTTAATTAAAATCCTTTGAATCACAAACTTAAAATATTGTTAAACATTCTTGTAATAATTAAAATCTTGCTTTTAAATGAACAAAATCATAGTTAAAAGGACTTTGGCCTATCATTAAAGTTTAACATTATTTTATTGTCTAGAAACCAGCTAAATGTTTGCTTTTGGCTTGTTTTTGGCCCAAAATTCTTAAACAGTTAAGGCCATAAACCCCCAAAATCAATCCAAACCTTCCTTTTGTGGTATGGAACCTTGTGGTACAATTTCATAGACATGATAGAGGTCCATATGTACACTTATACTGTCTGCAAACCAAGTGTCTTTGGACGACGACGATTATGACCATTATACATGTTTTACTGCCTCAAATGTTTGCGGTCTTATAAACACTTATTTGAAATTGAAATAGAAGGGCAAACATGCCTGTTCTCAGATTAGAAGTACCTGTTATTGTACTTCCTTACTTCAGGGAACAAGTGCTCCCTTACATTGTATGTGAATTAAAGATTTATGTATGTTGAATATTTCAGCACAAGCCAGACTAAGTAATTGTTTGACATGAAATGACTGTCACTTTATCTAAACTAGAGACAACATGGCTATAAATGCCTGAATTTGGTTAAACTAGCATAGAAAGCATTGAAGCCATGTATAAGTGGTTTGATACCTTCATAATCAACTGTACATAATATCATATATACATGTATACATATATATATATATATATATATAAGTCTAGAGATTTGCACAACGATACTAATATAAGATGGTATTATACGAAGATGTTGTTAATAAATCGTGTTGACAAATATTTCGGCTTAACAAATAGCCTTCTTCGGTGTCAATTATTTTAACAATACTGATAATATGTATAAAAATAGCTCAATAATACAGGTAAGTTTTGGTCTATTGATTTAATCCAAAATCCTGAACATCATAATATAAAACAAAACTCAATACTCAAATATACATGACTGTGTATATTTACAACCCAAAATGAGTGAAAAATAAAACTTAGTATTTTTTATTGATGCCGTTTGGATGATGCACATTTAGTTCCTTTATCCAAAAGCTTTCCCGAACCTGTCGCTGGGCATCACTCCAGTGAATGTTCTGTTCAATCACTAGGATCTTCATGCGGTTAAAGTCATCAAGTGTGTGACCAGACTGTCTGAAATGCTGAGAAACTGGGAGAAGTGGCTTCTTAGAGATATCACTCCTATGGCCATTGAGGCGTTTGTGGAAAGGCTGCTTTGACTCACCAACATATTGGAGGCCACAAACCGAACATTCTAGAATGTAAATAACATTCATACTTTTGCAGTTAACATTGCAAAATATCTTATAGTTATTTTCGGTTGCCTTACTGTGAAAAGTTGATGAGTGATGCATCTGCAAATATTTCGGCTTAACAAATAGCCTTCTTCGGTGTCAATTATTTTAACAATACTGATAATATGTATAAAAATAGCTCAATAATACAGGTAAGTTTTGTTGCCTAAAAGCTATCATGGGAGGCTCGGGAAAAATCTTGGATAGTTTGGAATTCTTTTCAACTGTTTTCCAATGCTCACGAACGACACCGAAGATTTTCTTCCAAGATTTTTCCCGAGCCTCCCATGATAGCTTTAAGGCAACCCAATAGTCTGCGTAACCTGCTGGTGCGGGCTGAAGTGTCTGATAATAGAAGTACTTCTGGAGAATGTCGTTCGTGTGATGAAAAACGCTGCAAATGCTGCCTACAGATGCATCACTCATCAACTTTTCACAGTAAGGCAACCGAAAATAACTATAAGATATTTTGCAATGTTAACTGCAAAAGTATGAATGTTATTTACATTCTAGAATGTTCGGTTTGTGGCCTCCAATATGTTGGTGAGTCAAAGCAGCCTTTCCACAAACGCCTCAATGGCCATAGGAGTGATATCTCTAAGAAGCCACTTCTCCCAGTTTCTCAGCATTTCAGACAGTCTGGTCACACACTTGATGACTTTAACCGCATGAAGATCCTAGTGATTGAACAGAACATTCACTGGAGTGGTGCCCAGCGACAGGTTCGGGAAAGCTTTTGGATAAAGGAACTAAATGTGCATCATCCAAACGGCATCAATAAAAAATACTAAGTTTTATTTTTCACTCATTTTGGGTTGTAAATATACACAGTCACGTATATTTGAGTATTGAGTTTTGTTTTATATTATGATGTTCAGGATTTTGGATTAAATCAATAGACCAAAACTTACCTGTATTATTGAGCTATTTTTATACATATTATCAGTATTGTTAAAATAATTGACACCGAAGAAGGCTATTTGTTAAGCCGAAATATTTGTCAACACGATTTATTAACAACATCTTCGTATAATACCATCTTATATTAGTATCGTTGTGCAAATCTCTAGACTTATATAATTTTTTTCCTTATCTGCACAGTATCGTCTATTCTAGACGATCCGGTACATAGTAAATTTGCTGGTTGGTCCTTTTTATAGACTTCTATATATATATATATATATATATATATATATCAATATATGACACAATTACTTTTGTATTTTTAATTCATTTGCATTATGAAGTGTACACAAATTTGCAAAAAACAACAAATGAGATTTAAAATTTGCCAAAAATAAATATATAATAAAATAAATGTGGATAGTGTCCACATGTGGACACAGATGATACCTCCACTTGCATATCATTTAGTTATAAAGGGACATAACTGAAGAACCGTAAAAGTGACGCTACCCAAATTTGAACTTGATCTGAGTTTTGTGGTAATAAGCATTGTATGTAAGTCTCATAACATTTGGTTGAGGCTAACTTAAGTAGAGAACAGAAATTTAAAATTCAGCAATTTTTCTATTTGTAAACACGCATAACTCTAGAACAGTTGTGTATAAGTTTTATAACATTTGGTAGAGACAAACTAAAGTTAGAGAACGAAAACAAAAAATTCAGCAATTTTTATGTTTATAAAGGGACATAACTCAAGAATGGTAAAAGTGTCGCCACCAAATTATGTACTTTATCTGTATTATGTAGTAATGAGCATTGTGTATAAGTTTCATAACATTTGGTTGAGGCAAACTAAAGTTAGAAAACGGAAACAAAAAATTTGTACTTGATCTTAGTTTTGTGGTAATGAATATTGTGTATAGGTTTCATAATGTTTGGTTGGGGCAAACTTAAGTTACAGAATGGAAACTAAAAATTTTGCAATCTTTCGATTTATAAAGGGGCATAACTCAATAATGGTTAAAGTATCACTACCAAAATTCAACTTGATCTGTGTTTTATCAGTGGAAGTCAAAATTAAACATTGCATTGTATAAAGCATTGATTGTAGTTGATTCAACTTTAATCATGGACAAAGGAAGATAACTCCGATTTTAAAAATTACTTGATATTTAGAAAAAAATAAAAATTTAGCAATTTTTCCATTTATAAAGGGGCACAGCTCTAGAACGTTTAAAGTGACACCACCAAAATTCAAACTTGATCTGTGTTTTGTGGTAATAAGCATTGTGTATAAGTTTCATAACATTTGGTTGAGGCAAACTTAAGTTAGAGAACGGAAACTAAAAATTTTGCAATTTTTCCGTTTATAAAGGGGCATAACTCTAGAACAGTTAAAGTGACACCACCAAAATTCAAACTTGATCTGTGTTTTGTAGTAATAAGCATTGTGTATAATTTTCATAACATTTGGTTGAGGCAAACTCAAGTTAGAGAACGGAAACCAATTTTGGGATGTATGTATGTACGTACAGAGGGACAAGGGTAAAACTTAATGCCCCCACTGCTACGGCGGAGGCATAAAAACTTGTAAGGGGTTTCCTGGAACCATGTGTCTTGTCTGCAATTACTGCTGTCAGTGTAAAAGTGTAATGTTGACTTAAAATGTGAGTCCATTTATCAGTCAAATACAGATTTTCAATTGATAAAGGGGCATAACTCAATAATGGTTAAAGTGACACTACCGATATTCAACTTGATCTGCGTTTTATCAGTGTAAGTCAAAATTAAACATTGCATTATATAAAGCATTCATTGTAGTTGATTCAACTTTAATCATGGACAAAGGAAGATAACTCCAATTTTAAAATAACTTGATATTTAGAAGAAAATAAAAATTTTGTAATTTTTCCATTTAGAAAGGGCATAACTCTAGAACGGTTAAAGTGACGCCACCAAAATTCAAACTTGATCTGTGTTTTGTGGTAATAAGCATTGTGTATAAGTTTCATAACATTTGGTTGAGGCAAACTTAAGTTAGAGAATGGAAACTAAAAATTTAGCAATTTTTCCATTTATAAAGGGGCATAACTCTAGAACGGTTAAAGTGACGCCACCAAAATTCAAACTTGATCTGTGTTTTGTGGTAATAAGCATTGTGTATAAGTTTCATAACATTTGGTTGAGGCAAACTCAAGTTAGAGAATGGAAACCTATTTTGGGACGTACGTACAGACGGACAAGGGTAAAACTTAATGCTCCCACAGCTACGACGGGGGCATAAAAAAACTAAGTCCATTTAACAGAAAATATGGAAAAATGAAACTTAATATTTTCAATTTCTCTCCGGATTCTCTCTTTCATTTCAACTTTTCATTGATTACTCCTAGGGATATGGATCCCTCTAGAGTTTCTAATGCGGATACC